CCTGGTACTTCGTTCAGTTGCATATTGTATTTGGCAATCATACACAGTGAACTCAAGCTACTGATAATCCCTTCAATGATTTTTAATGGAACATTTTAAAATCGTTTGCACTTTTCAATGCAGAATAATTATTTATGTGGTAAAAATATAATAAATAAATAAAATCTTAATTATTATGTTTAAACTATGAAATTAAATTCCTTCAGTTGATAAGTGATAAACGCCTGAAACGTCAAGCTGAAAATAAATTATTCAAAATATTTTAACTATAAGACACGCAAATGAATTTTCTCAGACACTGTTTGATTTTTACAAAACTTTTAAGATTTTTATTTTATACTTACACTAAGTAATATTTATTTTTACATTTCATTTATGTAATTGTTTTAAATAAAACCATACAGCATTACACCAATATGACTTAATGTAGATTACAAAATATAAGTAGCTAAAATATTATTATGGTTGCATACAATGTATATTTTATTTAGATTACAGATAATAGTTAGTACCTAACAAATTTGAAAATTACCTACTAAATATGTACTAAAATTTATATCGTATACAAATTGAAATAAATTCAATTGGGGAGCGTGACAAGACATCATGTAAGTATAAAATTAGTTTTCCTTCAGGAAAATACTTTGTCAGATAAGTGAAAATTTGAATCAATTGTATGATACTACCTAAGTACTTACATATTACTTTTGTAATGAACTTTAGAATTTTATAGGTAACTAGTTTCATAAATACATTTAAAGAATATAGTTTATCCATCATTAAATTAAAATATTTATATATTTTTCTTTGTGTATCACATATATAAGTTAACATATTCATCAAACATCTCCAAACTATTTGTTGAAGTCAAATATAATTAGAATTGTCAAAACGTATGTATCAAAATTATTAGCTATAAAATTTGCTCCAGAAATGTGATTTTCTCAGAAATATTTGATTTACAAATTGTATGGTGTCGGTTACAAGTGGTTACTAAAGGTTACTAAATTTTGAATAGATCCAGTCGATGGACAAGTCGAGGCTGCGTAAGTAGCCCCAAATGGTGAGTTTTCTAGAACTGTTTGGTTTCAAATTGTTTGGTGTCGATTTAATTAAGTTACTAAAAGTTACTAAATTTATGAATAGGCGGGAGACGATAGGACAAAGTCGGAGGCTGCGTAAGTTAGCCCCAAATAAAGTAGAGTTTTCTACGAAACTGTTTGGTAAATTGTTTTGGTGTGAATTAGTGTTACTAAGGTTAATATTGAAATAGGTCTGAAGTCGATTGCGGACATAGTGGGGGGGGCCAACTTCACGAACATATGATAGAATAGAAAAACTTATTTTGCTCCTATTTTTGATAACTTTTTTAAACAAAGCTTTGGTATGTTGGGAGTAATTTAGTATCATATTTTGTTCAAAATCAATTAATTTAAATTTTTTACACGTATCTTGAACTAGTTTTTTATAAGTTGACGGTAAATAAACACGCTCAAGTTTTCTTCGTTGTTTTTCTATTATACCAAAAGCCCGATCGCATGGCAAAAAACTGTGACCCGGCTCTGGATATCTGTGAATTATTTTTGTTATTCCGTATATTTTGTTAGTTGTTATTGTATATAAAAATTGTGTTAACGCAAAATTTTTATTTTGGGCATTACAGTTATCCGAAAAAAGATATACTGTTTTTACAGAGCGATCCATAATGTTAGAAAAGTAATGATGTAAGAAGCTTATAACTTCATTTTGACCTTTATGGGCTGTAGCCTCGTCGTACATAAAAAAATAAGATTTTCCACTTCTTCCGGAATGTATACAGAAGTTGTAGATCCATAGTTGTCTATTGTAAAAGACGTCCCCACAAGGGATGGGGGTAACAGCATATTTTGTTGAAAATCGAACGAAATTACGTCTATTTCACTATTTTCTAAAATAGCTTCTTCAGATTTTTGTCTTAAATCAACATAAAAAACTTCAGCTTTAGAAACATGAAGTTGTTTTTCAGTTTCCAATTTTTTTTTTAATTCGTTATCTTTTTCAGCCGCTATTAAATTTTGAAGTCTATCACACGTCTGACATGTATCAACACGTGGATAACCAAATGATAACTTATAATTTGTTAAAAAAAATTTACGATAAAAATCATACGAAACTATTGGTTTGATATGGTCATTTTCCTGCATTTCATTCCATCTGTCATTTTCGTATTTAATCAAATACAACTCGTACATTTTCATCATATTAAGGTCTGGAGATAAATATCGCATTGAGTCATTTTTTATTCGACTATAGTGTGATCCGCGGGCAGGGAAACTTTCTATATGAGTTTGAACTTGAAACACCATCTGTTTACTTATTTTATTACCTCTATTTTCGAGTTTGCCGCGTTTATATAATGGACTTGGTTCATTTTTTTGAAGAGACTGTATAATTCTTTGAACTCTGTTTTTCCCGATTCCAAAAAATGAACAAAATGCTTTCCTACAAACTTTTTTTTCTACTTCTTTAATTCTCATAAAATATACACAACTACATGATTTAGGCTTACTTTTATTATTATCAGTAATATTTGGTCTACGCCTAGCTACGCTATTTAATTTAATTAAACCCGCAATATATGTATCCTGTTTCTCTTTGTTGCCGATTTTATTAAACATATTTATAATAATATTTTTTTCTACATCACTTACTTTAATAAAACATTTGTTTTTACATTTGCAATCTGGTCCGATTTTCCTTGATAAAACTAACTTACCACGTAAACTAATATGTTCTTCTCCAGACGCCTTTGCATTCTTACATTTATTGCGTTTCCAATTTTCAGTATTTATAGTTTTTTTTTTACCTCTAATTACCTCTATGGCATCTTCTTCGTCCGAAGCTTCTATGATACGAACTTCGTCATCATATTCCACATTAAAAGTCGTATTATTCAGCTTTTTTTTATTATGTATGCTTCCACATAATGTTTCGTATTCGGACATATTTTCAAAGTCCGAAACATCGATTGGTGAATTTGGATTTCCATAATCTGGATCATTGATTGAATCGTCAAAACTTAAATCACTTATACCACTAATATCACTCATTATTAATTTATATATTTAGAAAAAATTAATTATAAAAACTTAAAAAATATGAATTTATCATAAGAAATAGGTAATTTGTTTATTATTTTTTGATAAGCTTTATCAAAGAATAATACCGCATAAAGCAATAAAATAATGATATTACAATATCACTTGTAGACAATTTACAGTATGACCAACATTTGGTGCAACAACCAGTCATATCCGGATATGTCTGGTTGTTGCATCAAATAATAAACCAGACAACTCCATTTGTTTAGTATCTCAGTATCTAAGAATCGTATATGACTGGTTGTTGCACTAATGTTAGCCAAAAAAGTGATTTTGACCAAAATATGAAGATGTCCTGTTGTTGTCCCCAGGTCTTCAATTGCAGTCCACCATTCAAGCACACTTCATCAAATAGAATTGAACAATATCTACATAAAAATAAACGATAAATAATACAGATAAAATATTTGAATTATTTGTGGATATATATTTACCGCTCAATTGGCTTTAATTTTTTTACATTTTCTCTGAGTACACTCATCACAAGAGGGCAAATGCCAAGCCGAATGGATACCGTTGATAAAATTGTGTTGAGTGTCCTTTTACTAGGCAAAGTAAAAAGTTTTGATAACATTCCATAGCATTTAGGACTTCTTTTGTATTACGATAGGCTTAACATTTTTTTATCGATACTAAATCTTCGTCCACGGCTTGCCTTATTTGTCTCTCTAACCTGTAGTTTCATGAACAATGAGGTGGCTGCATTTATTTTATTTAAACATTTATCAGTCAAGTAATTATCATTTAGTTTTTCAGCAGCTTTTAGTCTGTCTTTAAAGACATTTTTGGCTCTTCGCACGCCTACATTTTTTTAATAAAATATTTGTTGCGTTATATAGTTTCAAACATTTTGGAGTAAGTTGTCTTCAATTTTTCACACCAATACTACATAATAATCCTGCAAGTCATTAAAACAAATTAATGTAATAATAGTAATTAAATACCAATATAGGAATTATAAAATATTAACTTAAAAAAATATATGTATTAAAAATACTAACCTATATTGTTATTATTTGTCTTTTTGATCGACCTAGCTTTTAATGAACTATTAACAGCATTACTATTGCCAACATGCATTGATATTACATCATCATCATCTACATAAAGCATTGCATTTATATTAAGCATAAGCAGTGTTTGGAAATAATTTAACATGATTTAAAAGTTACTGTAATTAAACTATTTATTAAATAATTTTATGACAATTTAATTATATTTAATTTTAAGTTTCTCGTTACTTTATTATTTTCAATACATTTTAAGAACTAATTAATAATAATACACATATATATATATTTAACCCTTCAACGCCCATTGTAGCAGAAATGCAACACGTTTATAATATTATTATATTTTATTATTTAAAATATATTTTAAAGTAAGTGTCGCTATCTAGTTAATCTAGAGAAAAATATCTACCAGCTGCTATTAACAACGCAGTAATTTGATAAATAATCAGTTTTTAGTTTCCCGCCAAATTTTGCATAGTGCATTTTGTGATAATACGTCTAAGTGAGTTTTATTTTTGACTTTATACATATACGTTAAATCTTCATTTATTTTTTAAAAAAAAATACTACATACTCAGGTAAGTTGTATAGATTCTATATAAATACACCAGCATGGATATTATTTCGTTTTTATATGAATTATACTAAAATCTAATCATGTTGCATATTTGCTACAGTGGGCAATAAATCAACGATATGAATCGTAACATTTTAAATGACGAAGAATTATTGGAACTTCTTTATAATACTAATTGGTCGGACAGTGAAGATGGTTTAGATGTTTCTGACAACGAACAAGACCATAATGTTGTAAATATTCACGAAAATATTGGTATTCCTACTAATGACAATGATGAAGGTAAAATAACTATTTTAACTACCTACTATATATAATTTATACTTTTATCATATGAAATCTTTTTTAGGTAATTTGGATTTATTGGATTTGCCAATTGAAATACAATCTAATTCTGTGGAAACAATACATTTACCTTCTGTTTCTACATCAAATTTGACTAATCAAAACCAATCTAATGTTTTAAACTTAACACCAAGACGCAGTGTAAGACATGTATCGATCTCACCATTAGTAAATAATTCTAGAGCTGATACCAACGAGTCATCAAATGCAAAAAAAACAGGTAATTTACAAAGAAAACCAGCTGCTTTAACAAATTTAAAATGGAAAAAAGGTAGTTTAGTCACACCTTCTGCATGTCTAACATTTATTGAACCTACACTTCCTCATGATTTGCTTTTACTTGAAACACCACTGGATTTCTTTGCTTATTTTTTCACTAATGAGCTTCTTACCAAAATCAAAGAGGAAACTGAATTGTATGCTGTTCAAAAGAATCCCAACAAACCAGTTTCTCTCAGTATTAATGAAATAAAAAGGTATTTGGGAATTTGTATTTATGCTTCTGTACTACATGTGCCAAAAATTAGGGATTATTGGTCTGCTGAATTGGGCTACCCTGTGATATTTAATGCTATGAGTCGCAATAGATTTGAGCTGATTAAAAGTGTTTTACATTTCAATAATAATGATTCTATGCTATCATCAAATGACCCAAATCATGATCGACTTCATAAGCTGAGACCTCTAATTGATTATTTGAATAGTCGCTTTTCTTCTATACCTTGCAAACAAGATTTATCTTTAGATGAACAATTATGTGCAACTAAAGCACAAAGTTATATGAAACAGTATCTTCCAGATAAACCACATAAGTGGGGGTTTAAATTGTTTGTTTTGACAGATATACAAGGATATGGATATCGTTTTGAGATTTACTCGGGCCAAGAAAACAATTCGATATTTCGACACCCCAATGAACCAGATTTCGGAGCTTCGTCAAATGTAGTAGTAAGGTTATCAAGAAATGTTCCGGTCAACAAAAACCATAAAATATATTTTGATAATTATTACACTGCTATTCCAGTGATGGAATTTTTATACCAAAAAAATATATATAGTTTAGGTACGGTCAGAATAAATCGTCTTCCTAATTGTCCTTTACCTGACAAAAACGGCGAAAAAAAAATGAAAAGAGGAGAATCGATAGAGTATATCACATCTTATGAGTCCGCGCCTATTTCTGCAGTTATATGAAAAATCCTAAATCTGTGTTTGAAGTTCATAAAGGGGAGGCGTTCAAAATCCCGACAATGATAATCCCGAATGGTCAAAAACCCGAAACCAAAATCCCGACAGTCTAAAATACCGACAGTTCAAAATACCGACAGTTCAAAATATCGACAAAATAAAATAATTTTATCTTATCTTATAAAAGTTTAATTTAGTACCTATATTATCTAAAACGCTCAATTACTTGTCCCAAGTCTCAGTGAACGATCGAACATTTCAACTGAACAAACGTATTTTTGCGTGTTAATTGTATAGTACCTTTGTTTTAAATATAAGTTAGGAGTTTTTTAATTATGAGTGAAATATGTCAAATTATCCCATCTCAAAAAGGAAATGCCAAAATATGTGTCAAGGGATATTTAATGACAAAAGACAAGAATCGAGAGGACATATATTATTGGTGCTGCGAAAAAAGAAAACTAATGGCCTGCACAGGTAAGTTATTATTTCATTAACCGGAAAGACAATCATTGTGTGGTACCGTTTATCCAAAAAATATATGTATAATAAGTTTCATTTGGGACATACTATTATGTTAATTGATAAATGAACAAATTTCAGTGGACTCGATATTTTAACTCACATTCTAATATAAATAATAATAACAATAGAAGTAATAATTAAAAATTATTTTTAATTTTTGCGTTTCATTCATAGGACGTGCAACCACTATACTTATCAACAAAAAACATTTATTACGTAAATGTTCTGATCATAATCACGCACCTGAAGCAGCTAGGGTTGATGTATGTACTACTCTTAGCCATTTAAAAGATCAAGCACGAAATACCAATGACCAACCCTGCCAAATTATTCAAAGTTGCGTTACAAATATGCCAAGTACTGCTCATCCATACATGCCGAATAGAAATGCTCTACGGCAACAAATAAAGCGTGTTAGAAGGGAAAATACGCCATCGCAACCTCAATCATTAGAAGATCTAACAATTCCCGATTCACTGAGAACTATAATTGGCGGGGAGTTATTTTTAATTAAAGATTCAACCATTAATGATGAAAAACTTCTACTATTTTGTACTAAAAATAATGTTCAACGGCTGTCGTATGCTCGTTATTTAATTATGGATGGTACGTTTTGGACAGTCCCGACAATATTTAGACAGCTATATACCATACACGCACCTGTAGGAGGAGACAATTTTCGAGTTTTGCCACTAGCATATGCTTTAATGTCATCAAAATCTGAAACCCTGTATATACGTCTTTTTCAAGACTTAATTGATTTTTGCGAAGATAATGGCGGGCAACTAAATCCATATTGGATAATGACAGATTTTGAACAGGCGGCAATAAAGGCATCAAAAGCTGAGTTTCCTAACGTGAAAAACAAGGCATGTTTTTTTCATTTATCTCAAAGTACTTGGAGAAAAATTCAATCATCTGGCTTGGTGAATTTATATGGTACAAACGAAGAGTTTAGTTTAAAAATAAGACAAATGCTTGCCCTGGCTTTTATTCCATCTGAAAATATACCTGCAGCATTTGATGAACTTAAAGCGACATTTCCTCCTGAAGCTGAAGAAGTTGTCCAATGGTTTGAAGACAATTATGTACATGGCCGGATTTGTCGCCGAAACCAAAGAAATGGTAATATTATACGCACAGACCCACTTTTTCCGCCCAAACTTTGGTCTGTGTCAGAATTAATGGACCACGGAATTCCTAGGACACAAAATATTGTCGAAGCTTGGCATCGACGTTGGTCAACTTTGGTTGGTAAACCTCATGTTGGAGTCTATACAATGATAGAGGAGCTTCAGAAAGAACAACAACGAGTTGACTTGGAAATTGAATGCATTAATCGTGGAGAACCAAAACCGAAACAGAAAAAACAAATAATTGACAGAGAGAAAAGAATAATGACGGTATATAAAGATATATCAAATAGGAGTGTCTTAGAATTTTTACGGGGTTTGGCTCATAATATATCGATGTAGTTTTATATATTTTTTAATTTTTAAGAGGACGCTACACATGTATAAATTCGTCCGTAAAAACCGTTTCACGCGGGATAGAACCACTCAGGCTGTAGTGATAGTTAACACTCCAAATTTATATACAATATAGTTAAGAAAATTATCTATGAAATATCGTTTTTATTTTTTTTATATAGCTTATACAAAAAAAGATCTTATTGTTTCAAAATCCATTATTTTTGTGTTTTTCAAACTTGAATAACACTTTTTGTAGTTCCGATATCGAAAAAATAAAAACGATATTTCACAGAAAAAATTCTCCTTTTTATGTAGTGAAAATTTTATTTCTTAGTTATGACTGTAGCCTTCTTGGTTCTTTCCCGCGTGAAACAGTTTTTACGTAAAGATTTCAATTTTATTAAATATTTTTGGCTGTAATGTGCTGCTGCCTACGATCGATGCGACATCGAATACGATTTCCCCCTCCACGATAAATTAAAATTATATTTCTCTGTATCGGCAAACAGCGCGCCCGCGCCCGTAATAATTTCCAGGAATAGTTTTGATATGAAATAATTTAATTTTGGTGACTATTGCTAATATGTATAAGCTGAATAATTACACCATTCTTATCTATACTATTATAATATTATTATAT